GTCTCATTTTTTAGGATTACTCCCTCAAAGTTAACATGACGATATCGCCCGTCTATCTTAAGTTTTCCCGAGTCCAGGTAGAGGACTTATGAGAAATCACCAAGCACCCTGAAAACCAGGAAAATCCAAACAAACATATATATAACACATAATATACAAAAAATAATATCAAATACATAGATAAACAAAGATTGGCTCAACCCACTTAGGGATGGACCATCATTTGGTTGATCTGTCCCCAGTGAAGTTGCCATTTTTTCTATAGGGGTAGAAATGTTGAGACAGAGCCATTGGATTGACTTGACTCGAACAAATCAAATAAAAATTACCACCGCAATTTATTATTTCCAGAGGAATGGGAAAAGAAAGAATAACCCAAAAAGAGGGGGAGAGAATCTAAGTTCGGGGGTTGGTTATGCAAAGGGAAGGTATTAGCACCCTAAACATCTATGGTACTCCGCAAGAACCTCTTTGAAAATTTGTGTATTTTGGCTATAAATGTTGTATAAAAAATAGATGGTGGAGGTGAGAAAAGAAATTTCTTTTACAATTTTTTGTACCCGCTACGGTTGTGAACCTTTAGTGCCTACGTACCACCTTCCGTGCAATAGGGGATCAGGGTACTCATAGTTCACATTTAAAAATTTTAAAACACAAATGTGTTGGTTAATTTTAAGAGACGAGACATCATCGTCTTATCCGAGTGAAAGAACATAATTACTATGCACAATTATGAGAAAGGAATATTTATGTCATCTCAAAGTGGGGGATATGGCTTGGATTTTAAAATCAACAAAGCCTCGCTCAAAATCCCAAGTGGAAAATATCTCACTTCACTATATATCATAGAAGTATAGTAGCTCGCATCACTACAAGGATTGACAAGAGTCTAATCTTTTGAGAAAAGTTTTAAAGTAAAAAGCCAAAATGGAGAAATGGTTTGAATGAGATTGATTGACTTTTAGTCTTCTCACAAAAATGTCAAGGTATTATTAAGTTGGTTAAAGTTTGATTAAGAAAATATTTTGAAAATGCATGGACCTAAGTCCAAGTTTATTGTGAAAGCGATTCAAGTTTTAGAAAACAATAATAGTTTTGAAAAGGAGGGAGACGATTTTTGAAATTAAAGAAGATAAGAGCAGATGAAGGGACTACCCTAAAGCATAAGATAAAAGCTAGTAAAAAGAACCATTTAACCAACAAGAAGCCAACACTTGACACAATGATTCAATGTAGAATTCCCATTCTTTGAACTTGAAACCAAGAAACCAAGGATATTAAACCTCTTAAGAAAACCAAACTTCAAATGCATTAAGTCTTCATAAAAATTGGGCAGAGTAACGGCTGTATACAAATGAATTCCTGATCACAGACAAAGCATATAATCAGAATAACACGCACACAAAGAAAAAAAACAACCCAATGTCTCGGGGTAAACCCCTCCAAACAAAATAATAATAGAAGTCACCAAGGTCTCTAGGTAGGTCAAGGTCTCTACTCCTAAGTCCGAGAAGTCCATAACTCCAAAATACCAAGGATAGTAACCAAATAGTCCAAGTAACCTTTAAGTTTTTTATTGTTCAAGTTGGTTATTAAGTATCTTCAAAAAGAAAATGAAGCTCAAATGAACAAAGTAAAAAAGTTGACATAAAGATAAAAGCTCAAGTGAGTTAAGATGAAAATAACATGAAATGTAAATGCTAAAATAAATGCACTTAAAGTAAAAAGCATAAAGTAAAAGTATAAAATAAAGTCAATTGTTAGAAATTAGAGGTTAGTTGAATGACCATATTGAAACTTGCATCTGAAAACTCATTAGAAGATTGATAAAATCAAAGCCTCTCAACAAAAAGTTTCATTTGCTTTTTGTCAAGTATATCCTTCATTTCAAAATTTCAAGGCAATAACAAATGATCAACGATGTTTAAATGATTCACTTAGTTCCAAAATTTATGAAGATTCATTAGAGGATTGATAAGACCAAATCCTCCTAACAATGGACCTTAAGGTTATTGGATCAAATGTTTTAAATTAAAAATACTTGGGCTTGCAAACATAGGTTTGGGCCACGAATGATCATTTCTCGAATCGGGACAAAATTTAGCACTATGTTAAGCAATCGTAAGTGGACTTATATAAAAATCGCACCTATTTTGAGGCCGGTCAATAGCAATCTATGTGCCATATGTTTGGAGTGATGGTATGTAGATCATCCTCTATAACATGTAGCACAATGAGAAAGGGATAATATGTAGAGGGAAGGGATGCAAGGTATGAAATTAGGGTTTCAAATATCATCAACATCATTCATCCATTTTGGTGGATTTGGTTTCTCAACCTATCAACACCCAAGATCCAATGAGGTTGAAGAATTTGTCACCAAATAATGCCAAAGCCAGAATCAAATACAATAATTAAAATAAAATTCAATAAAATAATATTTAAAAGGTTAATTAAAAGGAAAATAAATGGTAAAAATACACAGAGTATATTAAAACACTAAATAAGAATCCTAAAAAAAAGTCAAAGATCAAACAAAATTTAATAAAGGTTGAAATTTTTTTTAGAATTTTTTAAAGTCAGAAACTATTTTTTAAAAATAAAATAAATAGGTAAAACAAACTAAAAATGGTGAAAAATATTAAAATCAGGAATAAAAATAAAACAAGGTTATCAAAAACTGCCAAGAAGGCCAAAGGACCTTTCCATAATTTTTTAGAATTTTAAAATTAAGAAAAAAATTTAATCAATTAAAATAATTCAATTAAAGTGAAAAATTATAAAAAATATCAAATTACAAAATAAAATTGTGAAAAAATAAAAACCAGAAAGAAAAAATCCAAATATTTTTAAGAATTTTTTCAGATTTTTTGAGTTGGAAATGAATTTTTTATGAATTTTTAAAGTTTAAATCAATTAAAATATAAAAATCAAAAAATAAAAATAAAACAAAAAGATATAGACCATTGGATGAATGTCAAAACGCGTTAGTAATCAGATCCAAGGGATCTGGCACACTGTGCATATCATGGTCCTTATTGAATAAAACACTGGATCCATTATTAAATCATATTTTTGAAAAAAAAACAAGTGGCACCTTATCATTGGTTGAGAGATGACACGTTGGTCATCTTCAACCTCCAGCCACGCGAATTGTAGGTCTCTCATACTGTAAAATTAGGAGCTCATACCTATGCCATTCGCTTCGTCTCATCAAGACGAAAATAACTATACCATCGCGAAAAATTTATTTAAAGTGTAGCTCAGTCGTTTTGCAAAAAACCAGAAGGAAACAATTGAATAGGGATTTAAAAATTCATGGCCAAAACTCATTTCCAGTTGAAAATAGATGATGCGACTAGCATCAGAATGATGAGAGCTTCATTGTGGTAGCCAATTTTGAGAGAATGGATGAAGGAATCTACCTATTGAAGTTCAAATTCAGAGCTCTGAAACTTGACTTGTCTAGCACGATTTATGATACTTTAGGGCTTGGTTCTTCTTTTTTTTAGCTTCAGTGAAGTTCAAGGATGAAGAATTGACAAAGAAAACGGATTGAGGAAGGCTGTAAAACCAAATTCGGAGTTGCAGAAATATGGGTTAAGGAGAGAGCTAGGCAGGGTGATTCTGGTTGTTCAAGCTTGAGAAAATGAGTGAGATATAACCCTCTATTTATAGGGGAGAAAATGGGATGCTCAAGCGTGTGTGTTGTACCCCAAAATTTTTCCTCCCATTTTTCATGCAAGATATTCTACTAGGGTTTCTCAAATGCTCAAGGTGGCTCAAGAATTGATCAGACAAATTCTCCTTCTAAGCATTGGGTTCACAATTAGGGTTTGGTATTTCTCAAACAAGATTGGGTTTCCAAGGTATCGTGTGGCTTTCGTGGTGCTTCATATGTATTCAAGAATGTTCATATCAAATCTCATGCCTTGCACCACAATTTCACTCAGTCAATTGCTCGAATGATCGAAAATCAACTGTATTGACCAAAAACTCAACATTTTCAAGATCAAGTTCAAACGATTGTAACTTCTTCATTATTCAATAATTTTAAGTGGTTCTTTTTTTGTATGACTCTCCTTGACGTCATCCCTAATTTCTCTTTACAAGTCAAGAGCCGATTATATGGGAAAGATCATCAAAAAATTGAATACTTTAGAGGTAGCTTTATGGACTTTGACCTAATCTCAAGTAACTATTGCCTGACTTCCAAGAATCGTAATTTCCTCAATTTTCAAGATCTTGAGACGATTATTTTTGCACAAGGAATTTCATCTACAAGTTTTCTTTAAAGACCAGAGTCAAATTATGCTTATAAGGTTTTGAAATTTATCGAAACGTTATAGGTCAATTCTTGACTTAAAAAATTTTGGCTTCTAATTTCAATTCATGAGGGCATTGCTGATTGTGGTGGGTTGAAGTACAAGTTACATTTCATTTTGGTCGATATAATTTTGGTTCTCATCAAATACTTGTTTACTTCAATTACAAGTTAATTTGAATTTTGAGAATTAAAGTTTGCAATTTGTTAGGCTACAAGGTGAAGTTTCATCTATCTCCTCCTTCTTAATTAAAGTTTTGTGTATGATTTTGTCAATATTCAAAAACGATACACATGGGTATTTGTTGATTCAATTTGATTATGAGTCCATGGAATCAAGTATTCCAAATAATTTCATTCAAGTTCCTATTCAACTTAACTCATTATCATGACAAAGTTCTAAACAATTCTCATGGCCTAATTCAAAGATTGATCAAGAGAGTCAAGTATTATCATTCATCCAAATCAATTGTTTCATTCAAAACACCATTCAAGAGAAGGTTCATGTAGAATTTTAACTTGTACAAAATATTCAAATGGCATTCAAAGATATCATGATGTTTCCAATTTCCAAGACTTCACAAAGGTTTTACATGAAATTCTTATTCAAAAAAAACTTAAGAGTTCTCGAGTTCTACATTAGTACAAGCTATTTTTTATTCAAGTTACAAAAATTCTACAAGACTAAAACTACAAGGTATATTTGTCTTCCTTGAGATAACTTGGCTAATTCTACAAAACCAAGTATTTTGAATCCATATTCATGCCAAACCCTTGTCCACAAACTCACACAACCTCCCATAACCTGCCCACCTTGTTGCTGTCCACAAACAGCCCAACACTGTCCAAACTTTGCTGCAAAAAACAGCCCTGTTGCTATCCCTATCCACTGTTGTCTAAACCTGCATACCAATCCAAAAATCCAGCCTTGCACTAGCTGCTAATTGTCCCTGCAAGACAGTCCAAAAAAACTACGACGCTTCCCTGCAAAATCTGCATTATAATAGTCCAACCATTGCACAGAATTAGCAAAACATAAACTGCATTAAAAAAGAAATAAAATAGCTAACCGGAACTGTTCCATAACTCATTTTGGTTCATAGATGAAGCTATTGCCCATAAACGTTATGCTATCAATTCACAACGTGTAACATGACAAAGTATTGCATATCAAAAGGATAAGAAGCAACACACAAAAGTAGAAGAAGAAGAGTAAATCAGATATAAGAAGAGAAATAAGCATACTTGATTTTGTAAATCGCTGTTAAAGTCGCATCAGACGAACTCCGATAGGTATATTTCTGGTTCCTCCTTTCCGTGCATCATATCTCATGAACAATTTAAATGCTTGTTGTTGTTATCAGGAGGATGAATCTCTTGATTTTTCTGGTTTTTTATTGCCTCTATTAACTGCAAAAGTTTAAGATAAACTATAAAAAAAAGAAACTAATCTGAACCGAAACTTTAAAATAACACCGTAATCGTAAAGAACGAAAAACATGATACCAGATTCACTACAAAATTCAGAGCAGAATATTCAATAAAAAAAACTTGTTACCATTGAAAAACGAGATCTAAGCTGAAACCTTGAAACTAAACCGCATAAATATTTTGTCGTGCCTCAAATTTTTGAGGTAGCAAAATCATCTTTTTCATCACCGAACATCTTCATCCTCTCTACGAACTCGCCCCTGTTACGTCCTCTCTCCATTTTCCGCATAACATATTCGCCATTCGAACACCTTTCTCACCACCTCTGTATTCTCCTCCAGTCCTCCTCACAGTATGCTAACCTCACACCGAACCAATTACCATCTCCAAGTTACTATCCAACCTTCATACTCCATCGATTTGTTCTCTCCCTCCGCAGCTTCAGAATCGCATACCCATCATCATCTTCCGATAACCACCTCTTCTTCATCTATCACTATCCTCATAAACCGTTGGAGAATCACCTTCATTCTGTCCCAACCTTGTATCAACCATTCATTAAATACCGTCATTGTTTCCATCATAACTTCCTATTTCCAGCTAACATCACTCACTTCCAGAAACAATAACAACATTGCTACTTCTGTTGTTATTGTTCGATTAAGAAATGAACAGACGTAGTATGGTTTCGGAAGAAAAAAAATGGAGGAACAAAGGGAGTACAGTTTCGGTTGAGAGAGAAAGATAAGAATGATATATTTCTTGTTTTAATTAGGTTATTTGGAATAAAAAATAATTAACCCCTCCTCTTCCAAATGAGCAGCCGCGACACCCTTCATTTTCGAATTAGGGTTAACAAACCCTCTCTATTCCTTTAAAAAAAAGAATCGGGTGTGGGCTTAATTTTTTTAGTCCAACCCATTTCATAATTTATACTTTTTTTATTAATTCAAACCCAGAAATAAACGAATTATCAGGTGGTGCAGCGCTTGAAGTGTTGGTGTCCAAACGTGAAGACCCGGGTTCGAGACCCCTCGCTTACATTTTTTTCATTTTTCTATTTTTATTTCATTAACCTCTTTTTCCTTGTTTGGGCCTCCGCCATAAATCATCAGCATAGGCCCATGCGCCCCTAGCTCACTACACACACCCCCATTTTATTTGTTTATATTATTTTAGTAATGTTTATTAATTTTGATTTCAATACATAAAAAAAACAACATACAAATATTTTTGTTTAGGGATTTCTAAAAAATATATAAAACTTTTTAACTAAATAATTAAATATAAAAATATCATTTTTATATTATTAATTATTTTGCTAATTAATTTTATAAATTGTTTTAGTTTAATTAATTGTTTATTTTTTATTTTTTTCGATTAGATTGTATTGATTGCTTATTTATACTATTGATCATATTGTTGATTCGATCCATCCCCATTTGTAAATTTGTACACCTCATTCCTGAAGCTTTGTAATAGCGTAGAACTTTAATTTCAATAATTTATTGTTTTCCTTTATATTGTATAGTAATTAGGCGTGTATGATAAGATAAAATCAATCGCTAGATTACCCTAATCAAAACAAATAATTGAATCAAACACACCTTTCACACGCGCACCTCTAGGGTACCCTCGCTTGTTGCCTCGGAAAAATAGTCATGTCCCTCGAATATGGGACACTTTAGCAAAGACCCTCGATAAAAAAATATCGTAGTCCCTCGATGAACCTTCGATGTTTCCTTCGGTAAAACGATCTTAGTCCCTTATGAAAATTGCAAAAGCGTCTCACAAGTTGCCTCTATGACTGTATGATGACCCACACATGTCCCTCACATCCGATAATAAGGCTCTCTAACAATCAATGGTAGACAAGCACTATCTCAAGGAGGAGGAAAAGAACAAAGACTTTTTGAGTCGGTAAATTGTTCGTAATTGCTTACTCATAAATAAAAAAATCTTCACACCTCACATTTTTAAAAAACATCTTTCAAACACTTTCCAAACTATTGTACCCCAATTTTTGCCCCTAAGATTCCTCTATTATTTCATACCATCACAATGCAACAAGATCACACGCTAGGGTTTGGTTCCTCTCCTTATCTTTGGCTTTGCTCATGGGGAATCACCAAGCATATTGACTTGTATTTTTTGTGATCATCTATGTTTGGTTTTGATTAACTTATAGCTAATAAATGCAATGAATGTTTTCCCTAATTGATGATGTTATAGGTGATAGCATAAAATTTTTCATCAAGTTGATCTACAGGTTCATGAGTCTATTTCCATGCCTTCTTCAAAAAAAGCTTCATTGAGATTCAAACCTCATCATTGAAGATGTTTTGAAGTAATATCATGAAAAAGTCTATTATGAGTCATCATGCCTCAAGTTGTCAAAGATAGTCAAAAGATACAAGGTTTGATTGTAGAAGTTTGACCTAGTTGGATAAACTCTTGATTTATTGATCACATGTACATATTTTCCTCAATTCCCAATATTTGGAAGTGGTTATGGTTTATATGGTTCCACATTATCATCCTCAATAACTTCTATTTACATGACAAAAATATTTGTGCAAGAAGGTTGGTCAAAACTGAAAAGGATTCTCAAGGCATTTTATTTCTCTAGGAGCTAGGGTTTTGAACTTCAAAGGGGTATATCTAGTTCATATTTTGGTATCTTTGAGTTATTACAAATACATGCTTCTCTTCAAAGGGTTATAAACAAATAATTTCAAAAGTTTCAAGGAAATTTTGTGTGAAAGGTACTTGATGATGAAGAAAGATTACAAGTCCTCTAGATGAACCATCAACTTCCCTTATGTGACTTCAAAGGACAATAACTTGGTAAATTTTTATCTCCATGATCCCATTATTTTTCCACATTTATTTTAAGAATGTGAACTTCATCCCTTCTTTTAAGTTCAAAGTGTGAAAATGGATAGAAGATGCCCTAAGGATGCAAAACATTATAGGTCATCTTATGAATGTTTGCCAACCTCAACAATTCATAACTTTCTCAATTTTTGTAAATTTTGAATGGTTCAAGTCTCAAAGTTCCATTCAATATATCTACTTCATGCCATCTTTTTTGGTCAAGAGAAAATTTCAAATGGAATACCATGTTTGGATGCAAGACATTATAGGTCATTTTTGAAGAAAAACTTAGGAATTTTCTAAGTATAGAAAGTCAACCTCTTTTTGTCAACTTTGACTCATTGCAACTTTCAGCTCATACATCCATTTGATTCCATTCTTTGCACATTATAAAGCTTGTGATCTTATCTTTCTAAAGCTTTAAGAATCATTTCTTAAGACTCCTTGAGCTGAGAATGCCATTAGTTCAAAAGTGGTACATTGAAACTGAAGTTTCAACTCAAGTGAGAATTTGAAATCCTTGATTTGGCTTCTAAACACAAGGTTTGGATGGGTTTTAATCAAAATAGAAGTCACATTTTTATTGTTTGCAACTTCACATGATTTCCCTCCAAATCCCATTATTCCACACGCTTGAGCATTCAATCAGCTTCCCTATAAATAGAGTACCATACATCATTCATTTTCTCAAGCTTAGAGAGCCAGAATCACCCTGCCAAACTCCCTCTTGAACTCAATTTTCTGCAGTTTCGAATTTGCTCTTACAACCTTTCTCAATCCATTTTCTTTGTCAATTCACCTTCCTTGAACCTCACTGAAGCTAACAGAAGCAGAATTAAGCTCTAAGCCTCCCTAAATCATACTATCCAAGTCAAGTTTCAGAGCTCTACAACTTAACTTCAATAGGTAGATTCCTTCACCAATTCTCTCAAAATTTGATACTGTTATGAAGCTCTCATCATCTTGATTCTAGTCGCAACACTTGTTTTTAAATGGAAGTACGTTTTGGCCATGATATTTCAAATCCCTTTTTAAAACTTCTCTTCCAAAATGACTGAGTTACAACTTATATAAATTTTTCGCGACGGTACCATTGGAATCGTCTTGAAGAGACAAAGTGAATGGTACCGGTCTCATGTTCTAATTTTACAGTTTCATGGACCTGCAAATCTCGTGGCTGGAGGTTGAAGATGACCAATGTGTCATCTATCAACAAATGAAAGCACGTCACGCTTTTTTTCTTTCAAAATCTGATTTAATTAATGATTCTATGGTTTATTCACCGAAGACCATGATATGCACAGTGCGTTTGATCCATTGGATTAGCTTACTAACGCATTTTGACTCTCATCCATTGGTCCACATTTTTTGGCTTTATTTTTATTTCTGATTTTTATATTTTAATTGTTTTAAACTTCCAAAATTCATAGAAAATTCATTTCTGATTCAAAAATTATGAAAAATTCACAAAAAATAATTTCAAAAATTCTCTCTCTGAATTTTATTTTTTCATAATTTTATTTTTATATTTGGTATTTTTTATAATTTTTCTTTGTTTTAGTTTGCTTTTAATTATTTAAAAAATGCTTTTGAGAATTTTTTAAATTCTAAAAAAAATTCATCAACATCATTTCTGACCTTCTGAAATTTTTTTAGAATTTTATTTTGACTTCTACTATTTGTTATCTTTTTTCACTTATTTAGCAATTTTAATTAGTTTAAAAATAGTTTCTGACTTTAAAAAATCACCAAAATTTTTATATAAATATTTGAACTCATTTCTGATTTTTCTATGGTCTTATTTGATTTTTCTTGGATGTTTTGAATATAATTGCTATTTTCTCCTTTTATTTTTATTTTAAAACCATTTTTTAAAAATCTTTTTTCTTTATTATTAAATACAATTTTATTGTGCATATATTATGGATGATCTTGGACTATGAAATTTTGATCATGAGCTTTATTAACATCAATGGATCCATGGTGTTGAGCTTACTCCATAAAAAATGGATGAATAATTTTAATAATAGTTTGATTAAATTTTTTGTTCAAATGTGGTTTAATTCTTACCTTATCCCTCTTCATCTAATCCCATTCTTTATTATACAAAATGTTATTAGAGAATAATTTACATATCATTTCTCAAAATATATCGTACATAGAATGTTATTGACCTGCCTCAAAATATGTGCGATTTCTATATAAGTCCATTTATGATTGCTTAACATAGCGCTAAATTTTGTCCCGATTTGAGAAATGATCATTCGTGGCTAAAACCCATGTTTGTAAGCCCAAGTATGTTAATTTGAATCCTTTGACCCAATAACTTTGAGATTTGTTGTTAGGAGGCTTTTGTCTTATCAATCCTCTAATGAATATTCATAAACTCTGGCCAAAGTGAATCACTTAAACATCATTGATCATTTAATGTTGTCTTGAGAATTTTAAATGGATGATATACTTGACAAAAAGAAAATGAAACTTGTTGTTGAGAGGTTTTGGTTTTATCAATCCTCTAATGAGTTTCAAATGCAAGTTTCAAGATGGTCATCCAACTAACCTCTAATTTCTAGCAATTGACTTTATTTTGTGCCTTTACTTCATGCTTTTACT